CATCTGCAAAACCAACCATACCAAACTCGGGTTTTCTAAAATATATTAAACCTAGGTCAACCGTACCTTGAAGGTAACGGAATATGTGTTTGATTCCGTTCCAATGTCTATGAGTAGGAGCCGAACTAAATCTCGCAAGTAGGCTAGTGGCAAAAGCAATATCAGGTCTGGTACAGTTTGCTAGATACAATAACCCACCGATAGCACTCATGTAAGGTACTTCTGGACCTAACATCTTTTCGCTATCTTCACAGGGTCTAAAAGGATCTCTCTCAACATCGAGAGTCCTACCAACCATTGGAGTACTCAAAGGAGTTGCTTTGTCCATACGAAAGCGTTTCAATAACCTTTTCGTATAATTTGATTGATGCACAAATATACCTTCTCGAAGATGCTCTATCTGGAGCCCAAGACAAAACTTTGTCTTTCCGAGATCTTTCATTTCGAACTCTTCTTTCATATGAGTTCGTGCATCATCAACCTCCTTCTGAGTTCCAATAATATTCAGGTCATCAACATATACAGCAATGATCACAAAGCCAGATGACGATTTCTTTATAAAAACGCATGGACATATCGCATTATTCACATATCCTTTTCTCAAGAGATATTCACTTAAGCGATTGTACCACATGCGACCGGACTGCTTTAATCCGTAAAGTGATCGCTGTAACTTGACCGAACAAGTCTCCCTGGGTTTCTNAAGTATGCAGTCACAACGTCCATAAGATGCATTTCAAGATTCTTTGATGCCGTAAGGCTCATCAAAAATCTAAACGTTATTGCATCCATCACCGGGGAATATGTTTCCTCAAAATCAATTCCCGGTCTCTGAGAAAAACCTTGGGCTACTAATCGGGCTTTATATCGTGTTACTTCATTCCTTTCATTTACTTTTCTCATGAATACCCACTTATACCCAACATGATTTATATTCTCAGGCGTTATGACTATAGGTCCAAAGACATTTCTTTTATTTAGGGAGAGTAATTCAATTTCAATGGCCTTCTTCCATTCCTCCCAATCATGTATTTTCATACATTCTAAAATGGACCTTGGATCAGGATCATCACTTTCGTGATCTAATTCTTTGGACACAGAAAAGGAGAACATTCCATCAACATCTTTTATCTTATTTCTTATCCATAACTTTTCATCTTGGGCGTAGTTGATGGAAATCTCATACTTTTCTGTTCCCTCCTCGTCATCTGGATCCTTATCTTTATTTGGTTCTTCTTGAACCTTTTCATCTATGCCTTCTTTCAGACATCTTTCAGTATCAGGTTCTTCTAGAACCTTTCCTTTTTGCTCAACCAATTTCTTTTTCTTTCGGGGATTTTTATCTCTAGAACCCACAGGTCTCCCCCTCTTTAACTGAGCCCTAGGCTCATTCATTGTATCTCCATCAGTGTGTTCTTTAGGAACAACAACTCTAGATGGAACATTTTCAGCGGGTATATATGATTTCGTCACCCTTTTCGTATCTGTGAACGCATCTGGTAACTGGTTTGCCAAATTATGCAAATGCACAATTTTCTGAACTTCCAGCTCGCTTTGATTCGTAGGGGGATCAAGGTGTAACAACGATGGTGTACACCAAGTAATCTCTTTAGGAATTTCTCTAATTCCTCCCCCTAATGCTGGAAATTCTTCTTCATTAAAATGACAATCGGCAAATCGTGCCGTAAACATATCACCAGTTACTGGTTCCAGATATCTTATTATACTTGGTGACACATAACCCACATATACTCCCAATCTCCTTTGTGGGCCCATTTTTGTTCTTTGTGGCGGAGCTATCGGAACATAGACCGCACACCCAAAGACACGGAGATGGGATACATCTGGCTCATGCCCAGACGCTAATTGTAATGGGGAGTACTTATGATATGCACTCGGTCTTAACCGAATCAGTGCATCCGCATGCAAAATAGCATGACCCCATACTGAAATTGGGAGCTTTGTTCTCAAGATCAACGGTCTTGCAATCAACTGCAACCGTTTTATTAATGACTCGGCCATGCCATTTTGTGTATGTACATGGGGAACTGGATGCTCCACATCAATCCCCACTGACATACAGTAATCATTAAAGGCTTGCGATGTAAATTCACCAGCATTATCAAGCCTTACTTTCTTAATGGCATATCCCGAGAACTGTGTTCTCAGCCTTATTATTTGGGCAATGAACTTTGCGAAACCGTATTTCGTGTTGTCAAAAGACACACATTTGACCATCTACTAGATGCGTCAATCAATACCATAAAATACTTAAACGGCCCGCACGTTGGGTGGATCGGCCCACATATATCACCATGTATCCTTTCTAAGAACATTGATGATTCATTGCCTACTTTTGCTGGTGATGGCCGAGTAATAAGTTTTCCTTGAGAACATGCTTTACATGTAAATTCGCCCGTTTGCAAAATTCTTCCGTTTTTCAACGGATGGCCATTTGAAATATGCACTATTTTTCTCATCATGACTGAACCAGGATGTCCTAGCCTCTCATGCCAGATTTTAAATGTATCAGTAAACTTCATGTTTACCACGGCATAGGACTCAGTCATGTGTATTTCTGTACAATATAGTCCAGAGTATAACATTTTTAACTCTTCTAATATATGTTTCCCCTCGGACTTAATGCAAAGAAATTCAATGCCATCTTTACACATAGTCTCAATATGGTATCCACTTCTTCGGATATCCTTGAAACTTAACAAGTTTCTATTAGACTCGGGGGAGTATAATGCATTACTTATTTCAAATATCGTCCCCCTTGGCATTGAAAATTTCAC